AGTCGACTACCCAGTCCGCCATCTTGCCTGAAAACTCTTAGTCATAAACGTCCAAAGAAGGATTTTTTTATTAACGGTGGTAACCATAATTTGTTCCAAGCACCTATACCGGTATTCGGTAAAAACATCAACAGTTTAAGTCATAAGTCCCAAGCACGAGAATCTGATGGCACACAAGTTCAGTACCAGAAATGTTATTTACTTGATTGTTTGTAGTGGATGCAATGAAAAGTATATCGGAAAGAGAGAACTTAAATTAAAAAAAAAAGAATGCACACAATGAATAAAGCAGCCACACAACCGCACGATTCCACTCAGTGAACATTAAGATACATGTGGAAACGGCAACGTTTTAGTTTTCCCGCTATAAAAGCGGAGTGTTGATCACAAACCTACATTGTTTCAACAAGAGCAACATTTCATTCATAAATACGCGCCTGAGTTAAATGTAAAGGCGTAAGTTATTTGTCCATTGTCACCTTGGTATTGTGACGTCATAGTTCTCCTAAATGTTATGACGTTACGTAACTATATTGGTAAGAGTTGAAAGCGCTAGCCAATTAAAACTGTATTCAATCTTACGCCACTTACTTAATTATTACTATGTTGTGCCTGAGAGTTAGAACTATACTGTGCTGTGCTCTCTCTCTCTCTCTGTGTCTCTCTGTGTCTCTCTCTTCCCTGTCTGTCTGTCTGTCTGTCTCTCTCTCTCTATATATATAGAAAATCTCACCCGAGTGTCTTTTGATATCAAATATATCGACACGAGTTGTAAAGTGGGAAAACTCCGAGGCTTGCCGAGGATTTTTTCCACTTTTATCACTGATTTTATTGATCATCCAACATCATTCTTCCAACTTTTTGAGTTTGTAGACAGTAAGAAGCAGTGTCTTAAGTGTAAAATGTACTGCCAACAGCTTCAGTAGCACGCCATTAGTGATGTCATTTGATTGTGACGTCATGGTAACCAATGAAGTCACAATGGTCTGCAAAGCATTGTGATGCAATTTCATTGCAGCGATATCTACAGTGTAGATATCGCTTGATCTCACCCAAGCGATATCTCCTGCGGGAGCCAATTTTGGATGATAAATATATATATAGAGAGAGAGAGAGAGAGAGAGACAGACAGACAGACAGACAGACAGACAGACAGACGGAGAGAGAGAGAGAGAGAGAGAGAGAGAGAGAGAGAGAGAGAGAGAGAGAGATCAAACGTAATAAGATAACAAAAGGTAGAAAGATAAAAAATAACAAACTAACAAGGGAAGCCAATAGATGATTGGTGCTGATTGGTTCAATAGACAATGGAAACCAACATTTTACAGTAATTAGCGCTGACAGTATGGAAGCCAATACTTCATAGATAAGTAATAGGTAATGGACACTGGCTGGGGTAATTAGCAGTGATAGGCGAAAGAATGGACATAGCAATGGGCAAATGGAATGTTAAAAGCGGCGTTAAACCAAACTCACTCACTCACTCACTCACCCTATTTTGTGATATAGTATATATCTGTCTTGTCAATTCCCCAATATATCGCCCAGCTATGAATCCCTTCTGATCTTCGTTAATACACACATATATATATATATAAAACAGTGCTACCTTATAGAAAACCGATAATTATGATGATGCCAAATGTGGTATTGCTTTTGGTTGCAGTTTTTTATCTTTTACTTATAGCTAATTAGTCGTCGTTTATCTGAGGCATAATTCACCCGTTCCGTGTGCAAAATTAATAGATCTTAGTAAATATTTACCAATATCATTCCAGAAGAAGTTACAGAATTTCAAAGTTAATCCATCCGGTCCTGCACTATTCAAATGTATCAGACATTTCACTGCTTTGAGGACATTGATATATTAAGATAGTTTCCAAATTCTAAACCAAAAAATACTTCGATGTTTTTTCGCCATGTTCCATCCATCTTGTTCATGACTTTTATTATTCCATCTAATTCCCTATAGCGAATATCAGTGTCAATAACAATTTTAATTTGAATTTATTGGCATAAGTATTATCCAAATCCGCAGTTTGTTTATTTAGTTAAGTTGTATGTCTTTTCTGACACAATGAAAATTGTACAGTTTCACCTCTCATCATTACGATCATCTCCCACAGAAGTTGATCGTTTATTGAGAAGTTGCCTTTATTGATCTCTATTGATCTATCATTTTCTTGATAATTAATTCTGATAACTCAACATATTCATTTGCCTTTCAGAAGTAAATTATCAAAATCCTGAAAGCCTTTCCCACGCTATTAACCAAGCTTGTCCAATAAACTATGTCTTTTTTTTGTAAAACCTGAGTAAACAGTTTAACTTCAAGCGTTTTCAGGAGTGTCCCCATACGTCCTCCATGCCTTATGTTTAACATCATATTCACAACCTTCACACTACACTCCCTCTAAGATATTCCTGACTGAAAACTGACAGCTGGTCAATTCAGTGAGTCCTGAAATCTGGGTTAACAAATATGCATGACCCACAGAAAAGTTCAATGGTAATGGTCAGTGCACAGTAAAGTCTATTTCCGTACCATGCCTGACGGATTACCTCATTTTATCACTGGTGTGGTTGCTGCACACTGACGAGAAAACGATGTCAATATAATCCAATGACATTACCGAACCATTGAAATAAGTGCTTGTCTTTGTCAATTTGCACGTTGATCTTAAACTTCCTTTTATCTAGGGTCGTTCAGATAGACTCTCCTTGAATAATTGAGTCTGGGCCGATTTGATATGGCACTTCGCTTGGTTGACACTCATTTCTGTACCGTCCAGCTGTATAGAACCATCAACCAAATCAACACTGACATAGATATTATGTCCCACATCCTTGGCTCGTTAAGAAAACTGTGGACTGCTTTGTTTTCTTCATGAGTCTTGACATGCTTCACAAGAGGATCATCAGACACATAAATGTGTGCAAACGTGCACAAAACAATCCTATCATGAAGAGCCCCAGCGGAAGTCAAACCACGCCCTCTCATTATGATAGGTAAATATAGGTGATTTAGGGAAGAGCGAGGATGTTGGGATCTATTGTCTGACGTGATTCTTCGTGTCAGGGTGTCAATACCCTGCATTTCTTGTTTCGTCCAATCAGCATCACCACAAGAATACAAAAGGACGGGTACAGCATAAGTATTTGTGGCTTTAACTTTATTGCGAGCGTTCAGCTCTGAACTCCAGATTTTCTTAAGTCTATAATTGTATTGAATTTGCCCGAAGCTTTTCCTTGTTTTGGGCATTCCGGAGTTTTTTTGTATTATGATCATGATTATTATGAAAGAATTAAATTTAAAAAAAAATGCAACAAGGAGGGTTTGGGTGATCCTGGCACAGTCAGGCTTGTTACTCATCATCAGCTCAGGGCCCTTCCCCCTCTACACGCATCCTAGACAGCGAATGGGACTTCTCCCAGGAAGCGCTGCCTAGTCAAACACACCCAGAACTTTTCGGAGAATGTGAAGGCTCCCCCAACACTGCAGCCTTCTGCATTACCCAGATTGTCAGAAGGGCTGTATTCCTAGAAGCAAACCCGGGTATTCTCCCAATATCAGTCAACAGATTGGGAGGTACCAAACCTAAGGCACCGAGAACAATAGGGAGTCGGACAACTTGGTACTTGGGATGCAAACGGTACATTTCGAAAGCGAGGTCCGCATATTTGCCATGTTTTGTCTCAATCTTATCAATCACATTTGTGTCAAAAGGTACAGAAAATTCAAAGATAAAAATGATTTCATTGGATTTATCAAAAAGGAAAAGATCAGGTTTGTTGGCCTGGATACGTCTGAGGCTGTAAATGGGCCTATTCCAAATAGTTTTGTATTTATCATTTTCCATGACGCCCTCTACATATTACGGGTCGTACCATGGATGCACCTCTCTGTCAAAACCACAAGCATGGCGAAGACGGTAATAAAATGATCGAGCCGCTCTATCATGTCGCTTAAGATACTGTGTTTGTGCCAAAGCGGGGCATCCACGGACAATGTATTATTATTGTTATTATTATTATTAAGGCCAGAGCTGAGACGTGGTTAAATCGATAGGAATTCAAAAGGTGGTGAGGTAGAGAAGAAGATAAACCGAGTTCTTTTCACAAGCTACAGTTACTCTTCTTTTATAACACCAGTCCATATGTGCGTATCATGTGTTAGTAAAGTACACAACTGATATTCAAGAAACGAATGCATGTATCATGGATAATAATTAACTATACACAGTACATAAACCCAATAACATATGTGTGTCAGAGTTAATTTTTGACTTGAATATACTGAGCTCCGTGAATGATACCCCTCTCAGCACCCTCAGCCTGGGTCAGAGGCATGTGTCCGACATGCCCCAGCGACTGCACTGTCATTACATTGTGAATGTAAACAGAGATTAAGCATGATTCATGCAACAACTGACATCTGCCTCACGCTCATTCCATCCTTCCTAGGTAAACTCAAAGTCTTTTGTCCTTCAATAACGGCATATTCCTATCAAGTTTACGAGGGTTGGGCAGCCGGACAAAAACCCAAACATATAAAACATGAAGAAAATATTCAAACTAAAACTCGATATAACACTTTAACGAAATACTCGAAATACAAATATGACGAAATACTTAATATAAAACACTGAGGAAATGCTTAAGATAAACCTTGATATAGCTGAACAACGAAATAGTCGATATACAATTTGAAATATAATGATAAACTCGATATACTTTAATGAGATCTTCAATATGACACAATAACAAAATACTGGACAACCAACCATCACATTCTCGCGAATGGCTCCTAAATAAGGTAGATAAGACATCCTTAATTTGATTCAACCAACAGTGTATTGGTGTCTCATTTAATTGGATCGAAAACAAGATCATGCCATATACACTGAAAATGATTCAACAATATTTACTCACGTTGCTATATAAGTGAAATAACCTTGAGTGCTACATTAACCTCCTATTTCCTGTTCCTTTGTTTGCAGCAAATGAACCAGCATGTCCGCATCTTTCGCAGAAAATGTCGACAATCTGTTTAATACCTTGGAAAGCGATGAGGATGATGACAGGTGAGTGTCACACTGACGGGCGTCGACAACGAGAATCTCCACACCTGGAAAAAGATAAATAACACTGACCATATACTTCCATATATAATAGTCGGTTTTATAGTGTATTCTTCAATAATATTCTGGTAGAAACGATGTGTTTATTGAAATAGTCTATTGAAATGGTGAAACAGAAATAAATGGTCCAATAGTAACTCTGCCACCTTATTGTGTATGTAAATACCCTTTCATGCCTCTCAGTCTGTGTCCCTGCATTACATTAAATCACTGATTGCTGGAGACCATCTGCCGAAACGTACAGTGTTCTTGTACACGCTATCCTAGACATTATCAAAGCGTCAATGTCACATGTAGTTATTGCCTAAAGGTGAACTGAGACGAGGGAATAATGAAAATAGAGTACTGTCGTGCTTCAATTCCTTCAGGTTTACACAATTATATCAACGTTAAATTGACACAATATTTACAATATCATCTTAAACGATACACAAATGGTATGTTTTGTAGATTCTCCCTTCGATTACTCTGTCTGAAATCGATTTTAAGAAAGATTCTGATGCTAATTGATAGAACTAATTGATGCTAATTGATCTATAAACCTCTGGACTAATCAATGTATGATTGTGAAATATCGGTACATGTATGGTGATGTAATCATGTTTCCTACAGGACAGAATGCGTCTCCAAAGTGGACCACTTCACGTTTTATCAGTACACGATAATTCCAGCCGTAAGTTTTATAGAGATTTTTTCTACTTTTCTATTAGCTAACTCAGCCTCACAACTACCTTCGTTCTTCAAAGCATTATTGGCCATATATTAGCTAACTCTGTGTACCTACATAACGTGTCCTGCCTGCAGGGGTATTTACATGTACATATCTGTACATGCCTACCTGGAAGAATCTCTCCACCTGCCTGTCTCAGCATGTCATGTAAACATTGTTGTTGATGTCAGTACACATTGTTGTGTAGGTCAGTATAAACCTTTTGATGAGGTCAGTACACATTGGTTTTGAGGTCAGTACACACTGTTGTTGAGGTCAGTACACATTGTTGTTGAAGTCAGTACACACTGTTGTGGAGGTCAGTCCACACTATGTTGAGGTCAGTACACATTGTTGTGTAGGTCAGTATACACTGTTGTAGAGGTCAGTACACACTGTTGTAGAGGTCAGTACACACTGTTGTTGAGGTCAGTACACACTGTTGTAGAAGTCAGTACACACTGTTGTTGAGGTCAGTACACACTGTTGTTGATGTCAGTACACACTGTTGTTGAGGTCAGTACACACTGTTGTTGAGGTCAATATACAATGTTGTGGTGGTCAGTACATACTGTTTTTGAGGTCAGTACACACTGTTGTAGAAGTCAGTACACACTGTTGTTGAGGTCAGTACACACTGTTGTTGAGGTCAGTACACACTGTTGTTGAGGTCAGTACACACTGTTGTTGAGGTCAGTACACACTGTTGTTGAGGTCAGTATACACTGTTGTTGATGTCAGTATACACTGTTGTTGATGTCAGTATACACTGTTGTTGAGGTCAGTACATACTGTTGTTGAGGTCAGTACACACTGTTGTAGAAGTCAGTACACACTGTTGTTGATGTCAGTACACACTGTTGTTGAGGTCAGTACACAATGTTGTTGAGGTCAGTACACAATGTTGTAGAAGTCAGTACACACTGTTGTAGAGGTCAGTACACACTGTTGTTGAGGTCAGTACACACTGTTGTTGAGGTCAGTACACACTGTTGTTGATGTCAGTACACACTGTTGTAGAGGTCAGTACACAATGTTGTAGAAGTCAGTACACACTGTTGTGGTGGTCAGTACATACTGTTGTTGATGTCAGTATACACTGTTGTAGAGGTCAGTACACAATGTTGTAGAGGTCAGTGCACACTGTTGTTGAGGTCAGTACACACTGTTGTTGATGTCAGTACACATTGTTGTTGAGGTCAGTACACACTGTTGTTGAGGTCAGTATACACTGTTGTTGAGGTCAGTACACACTGTTGTTGAGGTCAGTACACACTGTTGTTGAGGTCAGTATACACTGTTGTTGAGGTCAGTACACACTGTTGTTGAGGTCAGTACATATTGTTGACCTCTCCTGCCTCAGGTACTGATCAGCCTGGCCTTCTCCATGCTGAAGACGAGAAGACGGAAGTTTGTGGACTTTCTCTGTGGCCGACCAGCCCTGGTTCAGTGAGTTGTAACCGATATAGTTAATCAGAAACTTTCACTACCTGTTACGTTTGTTCTATTATATTCGCTTCAGTTATCAAGTTGAGAACACTTATTTCAAATCCTTGTCTATCCTGGAATTTATTCTGATAAAATATATTCTTATCCCAGCCCCATGGACGCATTGACGACATCTGCCAGCATTCCCTACATTGCTGCATTTGGAGCAACCACGTTCCTTACGTATGAAGTTATCTTTGAACAAAGGGTTGCCTTCAGATATGATGGACCACTAGCCTTGAAAAGTACGTAAACCATTTGTGTGTGTGTGTGTGTGTGTGTGTGTGTGTGTGTGTGTGTGTGTGTGTTGGTATGTGTTGGTGTGTGTATGGCAGTATATGTGTGTGTGTCAGTGTGTGTGCCAGTGTGTGTGCGTGTGCATGAGTGTGGGTGGGTGTATTTGTCTGTATGCGTCTGTGTGGGTTTGAGTACGCGTGAATGTATTTGTGTGTGTGTGTGTGTGACTGAGTGTGTGTGTGTGTATGTGTGAGTGCGTGCGTGTGTGTATTAGTTGCGGTCTATCCCTTTGGTGTGCCACAAGCCTCAGATAGTAGGATCGAATGCCGGTTCGCCTTTTTAAATGTTTAAGTTTGTGAGTGCCATGCCCATGCTCGTGGAGTTCACATCTAAAACCGTCATCACCTTCCTCTGATAAATTGTCATTTGAAAAAGGAGGTCTTGGCTTGAGTCATTTTGTAGCGCAAGTTAGGTTATCTGCAAACACCAAGTGTGTTATGCATAGTAATCAAGCAGTCAACGTCACACAGCAGTATTACATACACAAAGTGAGGTTCTGGAAACCAAAATTGTTTGGACTGCCAAATTCCCTAAGACCAGTTCCTTTAACAGTGACGCAAAGTGTCTATATTCAGATCTATTTGTATCCTAGTCAGTTCATACTGCATCGATAACCGTTTCTATTTAATCCCTTGCATTCTGATTCCAGCACTGATCGTAATAGTATCTATGATATGGTACGGCTTTGTCTACTTTCCTGTCTTCGCATCATTGGCCGTAAAGTCAATCTTCAGCTACGGTCTTGGGGCTTTATACGTGTGGGTCATCACAGGCATACAGTTCTACAAAGTATTTGAGTGCGACGTCAGATGGGTGAGGTTTTTCGTTTTTAATGGTCCAAGAGTTAGGCTTCAAGATAGGCTGGTAAATGAATTTTCGAATAATTGTTTAAATTAATGATTCATGCGTTTGTTAAAGTAATGATTCATGCATTGCTTTGCTTTTCTGTTTGTCACAAAATCCTTCAATCCTTTCGCATGCAAAGCAGAAGGTTATCATCCTGGACCTCTTCAGCACAGATCCCCAACATCTCTCACTCACCTTCTTTACATGGATGATCTTGAACTTCTTTCCAATGGAGAATCCTTACTAAAGAAAGATTCTTCTTTTCGATCCTTTTCTTATGATGTCGGCAAGCCTTTTGGGCTCGACCAATGCATCATTCTTCATCTGAAACGTGGCAACATAGAAGAGAGAGGATCGGTCATCGGGGAGGAGTTATTGACCATCTCGTGGAAGGTCAGGCGTAAACGTACTTGGGGAAGCAGATTAGGGACAAACTCCAGAATGCCCATATGAAGGAAAACACTTTGGGCAGAGTACAAATGGACAGAGTTGAACGATGACAATAAAGTTAAAGCCACAAATACTTATGCTGAACCCGTCCTTTCGTATTCTTTTGGTGCTGTAGATTGGACGAAAAAAATAAATTCAGGGTACTGGCACCCTCACATAAAGAATCATGTCAGACAATAGATCTCACTACACCCGTTTTTCCCTCGGTCGCTTATATTTACCAATTATACTGGGATTATAAGAGGCTCATCATCAGTTCAGGGCCCTTTGCTCAGGCAGCCCAGACAGTGAATGGGACTTCTTTCAGGAAGCGCTGGCTTGTCAAACCCACCCAGATCTTTTCAGAGAATGTGACGACTCCCCAACACTGCAGCCTTCTGCATTATCAAGATTGTCAGAAGGGCTGCATTCCTCTACATATTCTGGGTCGCACCATAGATGGACCACAAGCATGGCGAAAACGGTAATATAATGATCGAGCCACACTGTCATGTCACTTGAGATATTGTGTTTGTGCCAAAGCGGGTCATCCACTGACAATGTGTTGGACACTCTCATTAAATTCATTGGATAATCTACATTTCATATTTACATTTTGATGCAAAAGCATACATGACGGTTTCGAGTGGGAAGTGACTGGTCCTGAGCAGCAAACAGAAAGCCTTCTGTTTCACTTTTCAGGCCAGACGACTTCATCCAAGCGAATGACTCTTCTCATCAAAGTGCACATAAACACGATGCAGTGGTCGTTCAGATAGCCTCTACTTGCAAAAACTGTGTCTGTGCCGATTTGATATGGCACTTTGCTTGGCTGACACTTATTTCTGTACCGTCCAGCAGTACAGAACCATCAACAAAATCACCACCGACATTGAGATTATGTCCCACATCCAATGCCTTGTTTTCATCATGAGTCTTGACATGCTTCGCAAGAGGATCATCAGACCAATAAATGTGTGCAAAACAATTCTATCACGAAGAGCCCCAACGTTAATCAAACCACGTCCTCCCATAATGATTGGTAAATATAATCGATTGAGGGATGAGCGAGGGTGGTGGGATCTTTTGTCTGACATGATTCTTCGTGTGAGGGTGTCAACACCGTGAATGTCTTGTTTCGTCCAATCAACAACACCAAACGAATATGAAATTACGGGTACACCATAAGTATTTGTGGCTTTGACTTTGTTGCGAGCGTTCAATTCGGAACACCAGATTTTCTTAAGTCTACATTTGTACTCTGCCCGAAGTTTTTCCTTCATATGGGCATTCTGGAGTTTGTCCCTAATCTGCATCCGTAAGTACGTGTAGACCTGACCTTCCACGAGTTGGTAAATAACCCCTCCTCCAAGTAAACTGACTGATCCCCCCTCTTCTACCTTGCCACGTTTCAGATAAAGAATGTTGCATTTGTCGAGTCCAGAGGACATGCCGATATCATTAGAAAAGGACTCGACAGAGAGAATCTGTTTTTTGAGTGTAGATTCTCCATTGGTAATAAGTTCAAGGTCATCCATGTAAAGGAGGTGAGTAAGGGGTTTTGGGTATCTGTGCGGAGGAGTTCCCAGATGACAACCTTCCTCTTTGCTGACCAAAAAGCTTAAATGATTTAATGACAAACAAAAAAGCAAATGACTGAAAGAATCGCCCTGAAATATTCCTCTCCGTCACCACCTGCCCCTGCGAATACATCTCAAGTTGAGTTGACCAGCAATTCATAAAAGACTTGAGTAAAACAAATAGTCGTTCGGGGAGGTCAAAACATTCCAGTGACTTCAAAATATTATTATTATTATTATAATATAATATTATTATTATTACAATATTATGATTATGATTATGATTATGATTATTATTATTCAGAAAACTCGCTTGTTGTTGATTGGCGGAAACCTACCACACCTGATCTGTCTTACATATCTCAGCGTCATCCTACCGATCAGGTTTGCCAATGCCCTTAAAACTAAGAAGTATTTCGTGGCGGAGGAAACCGATCTTGATGTTCCCCAGACACTTAGTTACATCCGGGACTCTTACCAGGGGGTGCACGTCCGGAAACTCTTGAAGAAACCCGCACCGAAACCTCCGTAAGTGCTCCATCATTGTCTGTAACTAACCTCCGTAAGTGCTCCATCACTGTCTGTACCAAATCCCCGAAAGTGGTCAATGACTTTACCAAATCCCCGAAAGTGGTCAATGGCTGTACCAAATCCCAGTAAGTGGTCAATGGCTGTACCAAATCCCCGAAAGTGGTCAATGACTTTACCAAATCCCCGAAAGTGGTCAATGGCTGTACCCAATCCCAGTAAGTGGTCAATGGCTGTACCCAATCCCAGTAAGTGGTCAATGGCTGCACCCAATCCCAGTAAGTGGTCAATGGCTGTACCCAATCCCAGGAAGTGGTCAATGGCTGTACCCAATCCCAGTAAGTGGTCAATGGCTGCACCCAATCCCAGGAAGTGGACAATGGCTGTACCCAATCCCAGTAAGTGGTCAATGGCTGTACCCAATCCCAGGAAGTGGACAATGGCTGTACCCAATCCCAGTAAGTGGTCAATGGCTGTAGCAAATCCCAGTATGTGGTCAATGGCTGTACCCAATTCCAGTAAGTGGTCAATGACTGTACCAAATCCCCGAAAGTGGTCAATAACTGTCTGTACCAAATCCCAGTAAGTGGTCAATGACTTTACCAAATCCCCGAAAGTGGTCAATGGCTGTACCCAATCCCAGTAAGTGGTCAATGGCTGTACCCAATCCCAGTAAGTGGTCAATGGCTGTACCCAATCCCAGTAAGTGGTCAATGCCTGTACCAAATCCCCGAAAGTGGTCAATAACTGTCTGTACCAAATCCCAGTAAGCGGTCTCCACCAAACCCCAATAGAGGGGCACGTGGAGGAAAACCGTCTTTCAGCGTCGGCTAGGTGTGCCAGGATCCTGTTGTCCTGGTTTCGAATCCTAGATTCACCCAGACTACAATCCACGGTTCGTCAGTACCAGTGTTCCACAAAACTGGTGAACGTCTAAGTCGTTTGGTACTTCTTACCATACAACACTGTCAAACTGTCAGTACCAGTGTATGTTGGTTTCAATAACTGATAAACGCCTGAGACCGGCATGGTTTGTTACTTTCTTGACATACTACACTGTGACTGTGACACTTACATCGGAAAAGCTATACACTCAGTGGTATGTCACACCAACGTAGACATGTATATATGTTAGTGCTATGTGTTTTTGTTAGATTTAATTATATAAATGAGCTACTAAAGTAGCAATAATTAGGTTTTGACATGTATTGTTTAACTTTAGCAACCAATTGTTTCTATTATATTGAGCCCGACACTAAAATACCTTTGTCACATTTTCGATAAAGAAACATCAAGTTACGTTTCATTGAGTTGGTATTTTTCGCCGCGGGTTGTGATACTTTCCTGCTCTGTATACACGAACTCTAAATGACAACAACAATGAGCAACGATCGGTCAATAATAATGATCATGAATTTTGTTTGTTTGTTGTTTAAGGCCGCACTCGGTGATATTCAAGCTATAAATCGGCGGGCTGTAAATAATCAAGTCTGGAACAGACAATCCAGTGATTAAGATCAGCATCGATCCATGCAATTTGGATACGGTGATATGCATTAACCAAGTCAGCGAACTTGACAACCCGATTTCGTTAATCGCCTAACATAGTCGCCTTTTACGGCAAACATGGGTTTCCATTCTAAGCCGGATCTTCACGGGTCCAGTGACTATGAAAAAAAGCATAACAAATAACATTGTAATAACATGACACGGTGGGATTATCAGTCTATACGATTACCACGTTGATCCCTGTGTTGATGCATTGATGTTACACCAGATTGACAGATTGGCTCATTGCCTGATATAGAAAATACCGGGGGAACACGCAGATTTTCATAGTGTTTATCCCGTCACCTTCTATCGTGTCAATTCCTGCTCTTCTAAACTTACAATCACTACAAAACTAGGGCTAGTTTCGGATATTCAGTTATAAACGACCGTTCTTGAATGTCAGAGCAACAATGAAACGTTTTAGCTTGGCTCTGTCTCTATATTTCACATGTCGCCGCGCCCATTAAGCCGGGAACGTGTGCGGAGGCGCCTCTTGAACTGTCGCTAAGAACATTTCAAAGGGAAAGTTATCGCCCGTTCTGACCGGCTTAGTTGATTACCCAGAATATCCCTCCGTTGATAAATATATCAATTACGTTCTATAAATAGACCCATTTTAGCCGGCTACAGGAATATGTATACTATTTACACTGATTTCAAGACATATTCCCTATGATGCGACATGCCATTACATTGTCTACATATGTACGCTTTTATTATCCTAATAAGAACTTAACATGCATTGCTATGATGAATTTACGTAACCATGTACCTGAGTGCTGCATCAGTATATCCTACATATAGCGACTTATATCGTGTCACACAATAACTGCCAGGTTCTCATTCCAGCCCCCCGAAGGCGATCAAAGACAAAATCAAAGCCGGACTCCTTGCAGCAATACACAGGATACTCTATAAAAATGAAAAAGGTGATTTAATATGTGTCTGTATCATTTACACTGTATGCACCCAACAGTTAATAGTTACGGCTTGACGACCCGCCGCAAATTTGACCTTGGACCCCATTGACATCAACGTCAAAAAATATTTTTATCCGTCATCGTATGATTGCGTGATTTGACACACCATCTCCTCTTCCATCCTTCCACTACCCCCCCCCCCCCCACACCCACACCCCCCCACCCCCCAACCCCCGGCCCCACCCCACCATAGACACTCCCTCACAATAGAACGAAACCAAGGATCCACCCACCAACAATGTTTCTGTTCTTGTTCCAGGGTTCCGGTATTCGACCCGTATCCTGTCTGTTCTCATGATCGGCGTGTTTCTCCTGTACGTGGTGAGTCATCAGGGATACCTGTCTGTCTACACGTCACCAGGGGGCGCGTGTGCTGTGCTGTGTAGGGTTGCGTCCTTTGGGCGTGGAGTCGAACCTACTTTTACACTAATTAAGTTGCTAGGTTTGTCAGTACCATACCCGTGCTCGTGGTAATACACGTGTGACGACACAGCTCTAATGTACCATATTCGCGTTAGTCTACGCGGAGCAACGTAGTTGCGAGGCGTGGGGTTCTAGGAAACTGTTGCCTATGTCTAGATAACAGTGTCCCTTCTAGGATTCCGTAGATAACCAAGAAGAGGCAACCTAAACACACGTAAACAAAAACGACAAAACCTTTTCCATATTAAATAGAAATCTCTGCTTAAAGCAGAGTCGATTGTACGAATCCGATTATATCATGAGGATATGTTCATGTATCAGGGGTTCACAAAAAGGTGAGCGTAACCTGCCCCATCGGTGACACCGACCTCAAACACATGCAAATGCAAGTCAATCTTTCACCTAAAAAACACGAGAACATATGTTAACATTTTTGTCAAATTCGGAATATCTTCCACATGTCTACCTTTCAACTTTTTGAAAGTTAACAGAGGCCTTGATCAAATCCTTCATTGCAGTTGCTTGTCCTTTATCGAAAGGGAACAGGTGACTAACTTGTATTCCGTAGTTGGACAAATCGTCAGCTTACAATTACAATGAGCACAACGAAAACTTGATTAGTGTAGATTAGCAAAATACAAGTGGAGACCCATGTCAGTATAGGTCCACAGCACTCTTTTGCTTATAAAAGTGTCGGCTAAATTGTATTATGTGGTCAGGGTCGGTGCCTGGTTGATTGTGTAACATCATACCCCGACGGTGTGGTGATCGCTCACGATGTCATTACTGCTTTACCTGGACCAGACTCGATTAATTACAGAGATGTACCTGGAATACTACTGACTGCGGCGACATGAAACAACAGACAGCACAATTAAGCTTTCTGTTCACAGATCACCTTCCAGATCTTGGCTGAGTTAGTGCCGTTTATTGACATGATCGTCGGCTCCATCCACACTGAATTTAATGTCGATGACCTCATGCCAACAGAAGACGAGCAGTTTGACATCAACGATTTCAAGACGTGGATCTTTGTGGGCTACGAATTGCTTACCTCAATTAAACGTACGTCAGCTATTGAGCAAATGAGGTTTAATGCCTCTTTTGATAGCAGTACAGTTATATCACGGCGTAGCAGGTTGATGGAATTTTGCGTCTAAGGGACACGACGCATTTATTTGTGAAGCGCAATTTGTCTGTGTCAAATTTCAGAAGACTCACTGGCCTATATTTCCAAGTGACAATTCTTTTCCAGAGTGTGTGATCGTATCGACGGCGTTAGCGGTTGTGGTCGGGATGGTGATGATCTTGCACATGCTCTCCTCCTACAGGTAAGACACACAGGTACACCTGGTATCAGGGTTAGTGGTCTCTCTTCCTACAGGTAAAACACACAGGTACACCAGGTATCAGGGTGGTGATCTCTCCTCCTACAGGTAAAACACACAGGTACACCAGGTATCAGGGTTTGTGATCTCTCCTCCTACAGGTAAGACACACAGGTACACCAGGTATCAGGGTTAGTGATCTCTCCTCCTACAGGTAAGACACACAGGTACACCAGGTATCAGGGTTGGTGGTCTCTCCTCCTACTGGTAAGACACAGGTACACCAGGTATCAGGGTTGATGGTCTCTCCTCCTACAGGTAAGACACAGGTACACCTGGTATCAGGGTTTGTGATCTCTCCTCCTACAGGTAAGACACACAGGTACACCAGGTATCAGGGATGGTGGTCTCTCCTCCTACAGGTAAGACACACAGGTACACCAGGTATCAGGGTTGGTGGTCACTCATCTTACAGATAAGACACAGGTACACCTGGTATCAGGGTGGTGGTCTCTCCTCCTACAGGTAAGACACACATGCACACCTGGTTGATATACTGCACCAGATCGGGTTAGATATAGGAGTACATATGACATTTTGTCGATCATCCTGCGCTAAGTTCCCTACGGAGGCACCCTTTTCCCTGTAAGTCGAAAGTCCCTTTTTATTAATATCAGAACAGCGCGTTATTTTTCAGATCGGTTACAAAGAATCTCCCCTTATTATCGATGTTTCAGAACCAACCTACTGGCGTTATATAGAGGTGATCACAGCCACATCCCCCCAAGGAAGGACAGGAGTAACGCCAGCCTTATGGTAATATTGAGTCAGAGGAATTACGTTACAGAGAGGAAGAATATCAAAGAATTTAAAGAATTAAGTATTTATTGTATAATTGTAGGTATGCAGTGAGTGTGTGGATTCAAGCCCCAACATGTCTCTGCACCAGTCGACCCTTGTGTGGATCGGATGGTTATCCTTCTCACTCTGGAAATGGAGATGGTTAAACAGGCTTGATACAGCTTGAATGATGCTCTTTTCATTCCCCTTCTCACTCAGTAAACGGAGATGGTTAAATCAGGCTTGATACAGCTTGAATGAACCTCTCTTCATTCCCCTTCTCACTCAGGAAATGGCAATGGTTAAATCAGGCTTGATACAGCTTGAATGAACCTCTCTTCATTCCCCTTCTCACTCAGGAAGTGGCAATGGTTAAATCAGGCTTGATACAGCTTGAATGATGCTCTCTTCATTCCCCTTCTCACTCAGGAAATGGAGATGGTTAAATCAGGCTTGATACAGCTTGAATGATGCTCTCTTCATTCCCCTTCCCACTCAGGAAATGGAGATGGTTAAATCAGGCTTGATACAGCTTGAATGAATTCCCCTTCTCACCCAGGATATCCTGGAGATAAATATGCCACTGTCATACGAGGATGTTTTCCTGCGTGACTACTATGTTTCTCTGTGTTGCAGCTGGGGTGTATGCGGTTTGCAGGGTACCAAGTAGGATACATCGCATGGGGTGAGTGATGCAAAGGATAAGTAATTGACACTTGACTCCATGAAGATCCGGGTTAAATTTGTCGTAATTCTTGTTATAAGAGCGACTTAATGACTGGGGTGACACATGTATCCATCCAAGTTGTGTCGAGAAATGTTCAATCACTGGATTGTCTACCCAGACTCGATTATGCATGTTTCCTGATCGCCGTCATATAGCTGAAATATGTCTGCGTTAAACAAACAAACAAACACAAAACTGGGACATGCAAAAGGTATTGATGAATAGTCTCCCTTTACCGAGACAAAATCTTCACGAAAAGTTGCTACTACAATCCAGGTTGACCGGAAAGGTACATTGGTCGACGACGTCGCTGCATGCCACGTCACAGCTGTCTGTGTACACGTTGTGAGAAGGTCTATGTTGCATGAAGGTCTGTGTTATATCTACAGAGATTATCTGTAAGAGTTTAGGACCAGGCCCCGTGGTGACAGGAATATATACATTGTTTCCAGATACAGTAAAGTACGGTTATAACGAACTCGAAGGGACTACTAATTTTAGTTCGTTATAACCGTAGTTCGTTATAAGCATATATACAGTATAATAACAGCAAATTGTCGGGACCAAAAAGTAAGTTCGTTATATCCGTCAGTTCGTTATAAGCGTGTTCGTTATAACCGTAGTTTACTGTACTTTTAACGTAATGTTCTATTCAGGCCTCAGTTCCCAGGTTTAAAATTGAAAGTTATCTCATACTTCATTAAATTCACATAAACTGACAACATTTTATAACATGCTATCGCAGATGCTACTGTGTAATTTACACACTGTCACTGGCAATATGCAAACAGTAGTTGTGTACAGTAATTGTTACATTCTTTGGAGGTGAGTTTCTGTACCTCTGGTTACTGACTTTGTTTGTATCACAATACAACCTCCATTTAGAACCTAAATATCAAATGTTTTTGTGAAAATCATCTATATCATGTTAATAATCAAGCTTATATGTTCTGTGTGTCATGTATATCAGGTTTATAATGAAGCTTATATTTCTGTGTTTCATGTATGTAAGGTTTATAATGAAGCTTATATGTTCTGTGTTTCATGTATATCAGGTTTATAATGAAGCTTATATGTTCTGTGTTTCATGTATATCAGGTTTATAATGGTGCGTATGTACAGATGTTGTTTGAGAGCTACATGCTGTAAATAGTTGGTTTTTGTTTCTAACTGGGCAATTGTTCATTGTTTCAGGGTTTGTCATCCAGGGTATCATCTTCTTCCTCCTTTCACTGGCGATATCCGTCATCGTCATCCTTGTTCAGATCGGCGTGTCAGGTTGGCTTGTTAATGCCGTGTTAGAGCTATGGTAAGCATGTACTAAATTTAACGAATATTGTCTTTAATGGGAAAAAATGTCATTAGTCGTGCTCCAGAAGACATTTTGGCAGTGCATCAAAATGTCCAGTGAACACTGTTTGTGATACATTATGCTTATCTACCCATCCACCATCCCCACCACCACCTTCTCCAGAATATAATGACAGGTTTCATAACCTATGAAGATCTTAGTTAGGTCAGACAACAAGCCTAGTGACCTCAAGTTACAGACCTTTTGATATGCGGCCAGACCTTTAAATACATCTATTATTCTATTTTATTATTATTTTATTCTATCATTATTCTATTATTACCATCGCCATCCTAATAATTGCCGCATCTCTCCAGGCCGATTGTTGTGTGGACAATAGTACTGAACGTCCTCCAGCTGCTATTGGCCAAGTTCCTCTTCGCACAGGGACGCGGGAATACGCTGTATATAGACAACAGGTGCGTATGTCTTCCTTAGAAGGCTGGGCGGGAATACGCTGTATAAAGACAACAGGTGCGTATGTCTTCCTCAGAAGGGTGGGCGGGGACACGCTGAATATAGACAACAGGTGTATATGTCTTCGTCAGAAGGCTGGGCGGGGTTACGCTGTATATAGACAACAGGTGTATATGTCTTCGTCAGAAGGCTGGGCGGGGTTACGCTGTATATAGACAACAGGTGTGTATGTTTTCCTCAGAAGGGTGGGTTGGACATGCTGTATATAGACAACAGGTTTGTGTGTCTTCCTAAGAAGGGTGGGTTGGACACGCTGTATATAGACAACAGGTGTGTATGTCTTCCTCAGAAGGTTGGGCGGGGACACGCTGTATATAGACAACAGGTTCACAGATCAATGACATCACACGTGATGCGATCATGAGCGTCCGTTCACAAAACATAACAGTGTATTTGTTGTGCATCGAACCAATTTAATATGTCTTGAATATGAGTAATTCCTCATACATTAAGCAAGAAGTATGGTATTCGCGTTTCTGTTGGAGTATATTATTGTTGTACACTTGTAAATCACTTCGCTGTGCTTGTGACAATCAATAGGAGTCCCACAGTCAGCTTGAAGTACCAGTTCTTACTATCAAAAGTACCAACTTTCTCTCACGAGTTGCCTCCCTTGTTTCAGGCGGTTCTTCTTCATCTTCACGTACTTCATGTTCTTCTTCAACATCTTCCTCGGCCTCGTGTCCTGCCTCATGAGGATCATCAAGGCCATCGTCCTGGGGGCCTTGTTCATGCCACGCCTCGACCACAGCACCTTGTCCCAGAGATTCCAGTTCTTTGATCCTGGTACTAAGCTTTTCTGTTATTCATTCTCAAAGAACGGTAGAGTACATACGGGGCGTATATAATGTTGTGACATCTCCGTTAGCTTTCAGCCTTTGGAACGATTACTCTTGGTCCTTTTAAGATGTATTTTATGCAGTTAAACCCCCTTAGTCCGGACATCTCACATTCCGGGCGGTGTCTGTTGAGGTCACATTACGTACCCATGACTCGTGTGTGCAGGAAAACGTTAGCGTGACGATGTCCCTGTGTAGATTAACAGGGTTCCACTGTATTTTGGACGACAGGTGAACATGCTCATACATGACTGGGGATCAATATTAGTTCATATACATGATGTTATTTTCAACGTTGCTGTGACTTTCTTTAAGGTGTGTGAGTGAGTTTGAGTTAACGGCAGTTTTCCAGCCATATCATTGCGTGGCAACAGTTACTTTATGCCCGAAAGTCATGCAGGTCTCGGAAGTTTGCCGCTTTGGTGAAAACCCCGAGCCCGGGCTTGGTGTTCGCGAACCTAGAAACCGGGCAAACCGGTAATCGAACAAACATTCACAGCTTCCTGGCCTGCCCAATGGAAGCAACTCTACATTGCCACCCGTGTCCCCTACTTTCTTCAGATCTGCAATGTAGGCTTTTGTGGTATTTTTTTGTTATAACCCAGGATTGATGGAGTTGAAAGCAGTAGTGCAAAAATAAACGACGTACAAAGATAGGACGCAGTATATTTAGTCACCGAGCTTTTATCGTATTTATGACTGCTTTGTCTGATTGTCTCGATTATTCACAGGCAGGCTTGCAGCTGGAATGTTCTTGACTGCGGAGTTAAACATTATGTCCTCACACACACTTCTTTTATAATCGACACATGCATTAACTAATCCGTGAAGAAACGGGGTAGAATAAGTCTTCAGCAACCCATTCTTGTCGTCAGAGGCGACTAATTGGATCGGGTGGTCAGGCTCGCTAACTTGGTTTGATGAAATGTCATCGTATCCCAATTCTGTGGATCGATGCGAATGATGTCAATCAAGTTATTGTCTAGTCCAGGCTCGATTATTTACCGACCTCTGTCATATTTCTGGAATATTGCTGAATGCGTCGTTAAACAACAAACAAACAACATTACCTAATGAAAAATATATAAAATTATTTATTGACGAAAAAAAACATTCTGTTGTCCAAAGTATTCTTGTGGCATCAGAGTTTAGGAAAATGTGTTTTTGTTCAGGTTTCGCGGCGTATGTAGGCTACATGCACGTGGAGAACCAACATACACACCCGGTGATGATTGTATTCATCCGCCTCATGTTGATGAACCTGCACTTCCGGAAGCTGGGCGAGAGTAAATCCGTCGACCTGAATGGCGCCGTGAGAGTGGATGGGAAGACAGACAGCAGCCAGTGCGTCAGTATACGTAAGTACTGATGGACATTTTGGCACTAAAAGGATCTCGTGAAATACCATATTTGTCTGAGGGGGCCGACCATTGGATCTTTGTGTGGCTGGCGGCATTGTGTGAGAGAGGAGACTGTTATTGTTTAAGAAAATAACATTTTCGAACATGTTGTAAAAGGTTCGCCGGAAAGAAATGGTCGCGAGTACCGTTGCCTGTATGTGTCTGCGGCCATGGCTGTGTAAATATCTGCATTTGTCAGTGTCTGTGGGACTGTGGTTTTGTCTGAGGGGGTGGCTGTGTCTTAGGCTGTGTCTGTCTGAGGCTGTGGTTGTGTGTAAGGCTGTGTCTGAGGCTGTGGTTGTGTCTAAGGCTGTGTCTGAGGCTGTGGTTGTGTCTAAGAGTGTCTAAGGCTGTGGTTGTGTGTAAGGCTGTGTCTGAGGCTGTGGTTGTGTCTAAGGCTGTGTCTGAGGCTGTGGTTGTGTCTAAGAGTGTCTAAGGCTGTGGTTGTGTGTAAGGCTGTGTCTGATGCTGTGGCTGTGTCTGAGGCTGCGGTTAAGTCTAAGGCTGTGGTTGTGTCTGAGGCCGTGTCTGAGGCTGTGGATATATTTGATGATGATTCCATGTCTGCGTCAAAAGTTATATTTAGTTAAATTAAAACGTTTTAATTTAACTATGCACATTAAGTTTATTTTAATCGAGATTATATTTACAGAAATGAAAGAAGACGAAACCGATTTGAAAATGGTAAAAGAAGCCAAACGACGTAAATATAGAGCCACCTTCAACTGGGCCGTGTTCTACACCCTCATCAACAACCCCCAGATCAGGGTGTACCGGAAGGGCTACATCCAGAGCAGGATGAAGGCGGTGGAGGAGGGGAGACGGATTCCAGTCAGTGATCTCCCAGTGGTCGATCTCTGCAGACTCGACTCCGTGACTGACACCGACGCAACTAGAAACGGCAAGGACAGCACATACGGGAAGCACGATGTCAAAGGAGAAAAGATTAATTATAAAACTAAAGTTTGTCCCGTCTGACAAAATGAAAATATTTGCTAGAAGACTACTTCGTGATAGAACTGTTTCACACATAAAACGTCTCTGACTGTTCTGCTGAAAATAGTTTACGGTTGTAAAAACTTCTTCAGGACTTTCGTGAAACAACGGTTGACCAAAGTCGTTATTACATTACTGGTTACATGTGGGCCTTATTGTCGAGACTGTCGATACGCTTTCCTTACCAGAATGATGTTTCTTAGAGAGCCTTTTCCATGTCCCGATCTACCAAGGAGCAAGATTGACAGAAGGTGACCTCAGTGTCAATTCATCTGAAGAGATGAAACGTGCTCTATCAACTAACTGTTGAAACGTTGTGGTGAAAGAGGTCGAATATGAAATCCTGAATGGAGTATGTTGGTGTTGACGTGAGTACAGAAGGACATCCTGACACCGAATGGAGATATAGAAATACAGGAAAGTTAGTTAACATGACTAATACGGAGGAGTGAGTGTGATGTGACGCCACTCGTAGCATTCCAAGCCAAATCACAGCGGTGATTCTCATATTATACCTACATGTGGAATCGAACAAGAGTCGACAGGGCCACGAGGGAACACATTAATCACTAATGCGTCGTTTCAACTTAAGAGCGACCATTTAAAACAGGGCGTTTCAGGGCATCCAACATTACCAGTGGACAATACCATTTTGGGTTTTATCACATTACCTGAAGCCACCTTAATTTTGTTTCGAGCAGAATTTTATTGAACAAATCAGTTTTTTTGACACTGTTTAAGACCGTTTGAATATTTGCTACAACCCACAAGATATGTATTTGAGGCGGCTTCTCTCAGGCCCGCGACCCTAGAACCACACCACCTCCATAATATCACGGGATGGAAAGGTGTATGCTGCAAATGCTGGAGTTAACAAAACTACCGTCAACAGACTCTATCTCACACCCCTGTGGGCGAGAAACCGATCTGAGATAACTTGTATCAAATATATGTATGAGACCAAATGTTAAGCTCGTAAGGGACGATGGGGTATCCTAGCGGACCTGAGTTCGATTCCCCACATGAGTACTATTTGTGAAGCCCATTTCTGGTATTCCCCGCTGTAATATTGTTAAAAGTAGCGTAAAACAATACTCACTCACTTACTCTCCCAACGTCAGAGTTTGGATACCCCATGGTGTTGACTATTTCATATGCACCTTGAATTTTAAGGTGTGTAAGAAACACATCCCTGCAATCGTGCCTGTCAATAAATTCTATTTTATTCAAGCTCGTTGTTTCAAAGCGTATTTAACCAACGATCCTCTTCACAACCCGTTTTAGGACGAAGAAAACACTCGTGTGGTAATCTCCATATCCATCGCCATCAGAGTATTCTGTGTATTTATGTAATACAAGGGATGAATATGTGTCGGCAAGAACGCAGTAATCTGGTTGGTTAGAGAAATAGGTTAAGAAGAATTACATGGTTTTGCTTACAAGAAAGCCATTGTTTGTCAGGATCTTTCGTTCAGAACATATACCACCATTGTTTGTCGGGATCTTTCGCCCAGAACATATACCAGCATTGTTTGTCGGGATCTTTCGTCCAGAACATATACCAACATTGTTTGTCAGGATCTTTCGTCCAGAACATATACCACCATTGTTTGTCGGGATCTTTCGTCCAGAACATATACCAACATTGTTTGTCAGGATCTTTCGTTCAGAACATATACCACCATTGTTTGTCAGGATCTTTCGTCCAGAACATATACCATCATTGTTTCTCGGGATCTGTCATCCAGAACATATACCACCATTGTTTCTCAGGATCTTTCGTTCAGAACATACACCATCATTGTTTGTCGGGATCTTTCGTCCAGAACATATACCACCATTGTTTGTCAGGATTTTTCGTCCAGAACATATACCACCATTGTTTGTCGGGATCTGTCGTCCAGAACATATACCACCATTGTTTGTCAGGATCTTTCGTTCAGAACATACACCACCATTGTTTGTCAGGTTCTTTCGTTCAGAACATATACCACCATTGTTTGTCAGGATCTTTCGTTCAGAACATATACCATCATTGTTTGTCAGGATCTTTCGTTCAGTACATATACCACCATTGTTTGTCGGGATCTTTCGTCCAGAACATACACCATCATTGTTTGTCAGGATCTGTCGTCCAGAACATATATCACCATTGTTTGTCAGGATCTTTCGTTCAGAACATATACCATCATTGTTTGTCAGGTTCTTTCGTTCAGAACATATACCACCATTGTTTGTCGGGATCTTTCGTCCAGAACATACACCATCATTGTTTGTCGGGATCTGTCGTCCAGAACATACACCATCATTGTTTGTCAGGATCTGTCGTCCAGAACATACACCATCATTGTTTGTCAGGTTCTTTCGTCCAGAACATACACCATCATTGTTTGTCAGGATCTGTCGTCCAGAACATATACCATCATTGTTTGTCAGGTTCTTTCGTCCAGAACATACACCATCATTGTTTGCCGGGATCTTTCGTCCAGAACATATACCATCATTGTGTGTCAGGATCTGTCGTTCAGAACATATATCACCATTGTTTGTCAGGATCTGTCGTCCAGAACATACACCATCATTGTTTGTCAGGATCTGTCGTCCAGAACATATACCACCATTGTTTGTCGGGATCTTTCGTCCAGAACATACACCATCATTGTTTGTCAGGATCTGTCGTCCAGAACATATATGACCATTGTTTGTCATGATCTTTCGTTCAGAACATATACCATCATTGTTTGTCAGGTTCTTTCGTTCATAACATATACCACCATTGTTTGTCGGGATCTTTCGTCCAGAACATACACCATCATTGTTTGTCGGGATCTTTCGTCCAGAACATACACCATCATTGTTTGTCAGGTTCTTTCGTCCAGAACATACACCATCATTGTTTGTCAGGATCTGTCGTCCAGAACATACACCATCATTGTTTGTCGGGATCTTTCGTCCAGAACAAATACCATCATTGTTTGTCAGGATCTGTCGTTCAGAACATATATCACCATTGTTTGTCAGGATCTGTCGTCCAGAACATACACCATCATTGTTTGTCAGGATCTGTCGTCCAGAACATATACCACCATTGTTTGTCGGGATCTGTCGTCCAGAACATACACCATCATTGTTTGTCGGGATCTGTCGTCCAGAACATACACCATCATTGTTTGTCGGGATCTTTCGTCCAGAACATACACCATCATTGTTTGTCAGGTTCTTTCGTCCAGAACATACACCATCATTGTTTGTCAGGATCTGTCGTCCAGAACATATACCACCATTGTTTGTCAGGTTCTTTCGTCCAGAACATATACCATCATTGTTTGTCGGGATCTTTCGTCCAGAACATATACCATCATTGTTTGTCAGGATCTGTCGTTCAGAACATATATCACCATTGTTTGTCGGGATCTTTCGTCCAGAACATACACCATCATTGTTTGTCGGGATCTTTCGTCCAGAACATATACCATCATTGTTTGTCAGGATCTGTCGTTCAGAACATATATCACCATTGTTCGTCAGGATCTTTCGTCCAGAACATACACCATCATTGTTTGTCAGGATCTGTCGTCCAGAACATACACCATCATTGTTTGTCAGGATCTGTCGTCCAGAACATATACCACCATTGTTTGTCAGGATCTGTCGTTCAGAACATATATCACCATTGTTTGTCAGGATCTGTCGTCCAGAACATACACCATCATTGTTTGTCAGGATCTGTCGTCCAGAACATATACCACCATTGTGTGTCAGGATCTTTCGTTCAGAACATACACCATCATTGTTTGTCAGGATCTGTCGTCCAGAACATATACCACCATTGTGTGTCAGGATCTTTCGTCCAGAACATATACCATCATTGTTTTTCAGGTTCTTTCGTTCAGAACATATACCACCATTGTTTGTCGGGATCTTTCGTCCAGAACATATACCATCATTGTTTGTCAGGATCTTTCGTTCAGAACATATACCATCATTGTTTGTCAGGATCTGTCGTCCAGAACATACTCCATCATTGTTTGTCGGGATCTTTCGTCCAGAACATACACCATCATTGTTTGTCGGGATCTGTCGTCCAGAACATACACCATCATTGTTTGTCAGGATCTGTCGTCCAGAACATATACCACCATTGTTTGTCAGGTTCTTTGGTTCAGAACATATACCACCATTGTTTTTCGGGATCTTTCCTCCAGAACATATATCACCATTGTTTGTCAGGTTCTTTCGTTCAGAACATATACCATCATTGTTTGTCAGGATCTTTGGTTCAGAACATATACCATCATTGTTTGTCAGGTTCTTTGGTTCAGAACATATACCACCATTGTTTGTCAGGATCTTTCGTCCAGAACATATATCACCATTGTTTGTCAGGTTCTTTCGTTCAGAACATATACCATCATTGTTTGTCAGGTTCTTTCGTTCAGAACATATACCACCATTGTTTTTCGGGATCTTTCGTCCAGAACATATATCACCATTGTTTGTCAGGTTCTTTCGTTCAGAACATACACCACCATTGTTTGTCAGGATCTGTCGTTCAGAACATACACCATCATTGTTTGTCAGGATCTGTCGTCCAGAACATATATCACCATTGTTTGTCAGGTTCTTTCGTTCAGAACATATACCATCATTGTTTGTCAGGATCTGTCGTCCAGAACATATATCACCATTGTTTGTCAGGTTCTTTCGTTCAGAACATATACCATCATTGTTTGTCAGGATCTGTCGTTCAGAACATATACCATCATTGTTTGTCAGGATCTGTCGTCCAGAACATATACCATCATTGTTTGTCGGGATCTGTCGTCCAGAACATATATCACCATTGTTTGTCAGGTTCTTTCGTTCAGAACATATACCATCATTGTTTGTCAGGATCTGTCGTCCAGAACATACACCATCATTGTTTGTCAGGATCTGTCGTCCAGAACATATACCACCATTGTTTGTCGGGGTCTGTCGTCCAGAACATACACCATCATTGTTTGTCGGGATCTGTCGTCCAGAACATACACCATCATTGTTTGTCGGGATCTTTCGTCCAGAACATACACCATCATTGTTTGTCAGGTTCTTTCGTCCAGAACATACACCATCATTGTTTGTCAGGATCTGTCGTCCAGAACATATATCACCATTGTTTGTCAGGATCTGTCGTTCAGAACATATACCATTATTGTTTGTCAGGATCTGTCGTCCAGAACATACACCATCATTGTTTGTCAGGATCTGTCGTCCAGAACATATACCATCATTGTTTGTCAGGATCTGTCGTCCAGAACATATATCACAATTGTTTGTCAGGATCTGTCGTTCAGAACATATACCATCATTGTTTGTCAGGATCTTTCGTCCAGAACATATACCATCATTGTTTGTCAGGATCTGTCGTCCAGAACATATATCACCATTGTTTGTCAGGTTCTTTCGTTCAGAACATATACCATCATTGTTTGTCAGGATCTGTCGTCCAGAACATATATCACCATTGTTTGTCAGGTTCTTTCGTTCAGAACATATACCATCATTGTTTGTCAGGATCTGTCGTTCAGAACATATACCATCATTGTTTGTCAGGATCTGTCGTCCAGAACATATACCATCATTGTTTGTCGGGATCTGTCGTACAGAACATATATCACCATTGTTTGTCAGGTTCTTTCGTTAAGAACATATACCATCATTGTTTGTCAGGATCTGTCATCCAGAACATACACCATCATTGTTTGTCAGGATCTGTCGTCCAGAACATATACCACCATTGTTTGTCGGGATCTGTCGTGCAGAACATACACCATCATTGTTTGTCGGGATCTGTCGTCCAGAACATACACCATCATTGTTTGTCGGGATCTTTCGTCCAGAACATACACCATCATTGTTTGTCAGGTTCTTTCGTCCAGAACATACACCATCATTGTTTGTCAGGATCTGTCGTCCAGAACATATACCACCATTGTTTGTCAGGTTCTTTCGTCCAGAACATATACCATCATTGTTTGTCAGGATCTTTCGTCCAGAACATACACATCATTGTTTGTCGGGATCTGTCGTCCAGAACATACACCATCTTTGTTTGTCGGGATCTGTCGTCCAGAACATACACCATCATTGTTTGTCAGGATCTGTCGTCCAGAACATATACCACCATTGTTTGTCGGTATCTGTCGTCCAGAACATACACCATCATTGTTTGTCGGGATCTTTCGTCC